GACTCGGGTACGTCGGACTCGCGTCGGTGGCGTGTCGGTGGTCGGCTTCAGCTTGCGCCGGGGGTGACAGTGAAGACTGGGCAAGGTATCGATGCTTCAAGTGGCCACTGACAAGCGATAATTGGGTAGTATTCCAGCAGAGCCGTCAGTTTCATTCCCGATAGTTCCCATGGCGTAAAGTGGGATATGGAGACAACTTGAACAGGGTGGACTCGCGTAAACCGGCTGCCCGTTGATCATCCATGCCCGTACGAATAGCTGACAGTCTCGCAGAGACCTGAACGGCAGCGGTACATGATATCCCTGAATAAGCTTATCCCACGGAGCGTATCGCTGCAAATCCCTCTTGTCTCTGTTGCTTACTTCCTATCGTACCCTCTCCTTCTGAAGCTTGACGCCAGACGCAGATGGGAGAGCCACCCCCTTCTCCCCTTTCACCCCCCACCACCTTCACCCACCAGACCAACGGTCCATCGATGCACAGAAGGCTTGGCGTTTTCTTCCGATGCTTCGATGCCCTTTCCACCCGGTATCCATCCCTAATCACGACGTGAACTCGTGATGGCCAGTGTGGGTCGAATTGGCGATATGCTGCATGCGGTAAACTGCATCTCAAGTTTGTTGATCACTATTGTTCGAATCTATAGATCACTTCTGACGACCTTGCCCACTCGAGAAGCAATCGCATCTATCTCGGGATTACACATCGCCCGTATGTCCAAGATCTCCCAAAGAATGCTACCACATGTGAAAGACACTAGGCATGAGCTCGCTCGGCACCGATCCTCGGAGAGCTTTGGTGAACGGAGCACACTACCCCTTAGTTGCTGACGTCGTCGAACCCAGGAAATCCCTCCCTCCCCGCTCGGTCGCCGTTTGGGAGCACGGGTCCCGCCGTCAAGTTTCTAGTCGGGCCAGCTATGAATATCTTACCGTAAGGGAGGTCTGCGTACTAGTCACAGATTCCATACTCTATGGTTGGTCCCCGAGAATTGACGTGTCTTAATTCCGACTTACCCGCCCAGCAAAGCAGGACAGAAACTCTATCCTGAGCCGTTGGAACCGGGGGGCGGCTTACTGGAGCCAGTGCATGGCCAGGACACCACCACATTAGGAATCCGGCACGACACAATGGCACAAGCGCGCCGCAGTAGCGCCTATTCGCGAAGAGCGGCTGATGGGACGTGAAAGGTCCTGGACGTTTTCCAATATCCTTGCTCCATGCCAAATGTGCCGGTTCCGATTCTCACCATCGCAATACAGGCTGGATGGATGGAGAGAGAGTTTTCCCCGGCATTTGCCAACTTTCAGTGTTCACTCTGCACCGGCGGAATGGCCGAGGAAAAGAGCGGGGACAAGGCCGAATCACGACCCACATTCTCATCGGCACCGTCACGGCGAAGCGGAGGCACGGCGGAGTCCCGTACCGGGAGCCCCTGCACATCCGCCGAAGATATGCTGCCAACAACTGACTCTGGTCCACGCGAACATGCATATTTAAAAATACGCCACAGAGTACGACTGACTGACGCGAGGGCGAACCGCGCAAGTCCTTCTTTGCAGATGGTATTTGACTTCTCGGGTGCTGTCAGAAACATCAGACCAAAATGTGACTTTCAACCTACCCTGCTCTCGGCGAGGAGGTACTTCTTATAGCAAGCAAACAAAGCCGGCATATCCCACCCTAAAGTCCCGAACCCGCCACACCGCAAGAGCCTCTCCCCCATCACTACCACCCTTTTCGCGTCGCGAGATTCCCCCCGAGGCTCAAGCCAAGCCACACACGTCGAGCGGTTTGAACGTTTCTTGAACCCTGAATTCTGGGGTTCGCGCAGCCCCCGGAGCACCCAATCTCGTTGGCCCGTTTGAAGTCATTTTCATCCCAAGTTGAGAGGCTGAAGTGAACGTTCAATACGAGGAAGCTCGAACCACCAAACTGCGACTGGACCTCTCTTCTCCGCGGGTGCTGGGTATGGTACCCTTTTCGGCCAACGGCGTCGAGTCACCGTCGGGTAGAGAGCAGGCATACCGAGATCGCAATATGGTAGCCTAGAATCATGGAGTCAGACTCAGACAGCTACTTCGTCTCTACTGAATAAGTGATTATTCTTCATCCTAGCTTTCTGCTTTCCAAACCATTTTGCTTCTGGTTGTTGCCTAGGTGTTCGTCATCAGCTGCATCCCACCTCCGGCCGCCGTCCCGGGTACGAGTGACGACTCACGCCGCGCTGTCGTCTCAAAAAGGTCGTCGTCATCAGCCGCCTCATAGCCTCCCCACGCCACACATGTCTGGAAGAGGTCTGGACTACGACCGTCTAGCCCAGATCGTCGGCTCTAGTCCCCGCCCTGATGATTTTCTGGGGTATCCCGATTGTTCGTGGGCGTACTTGTTTCCCCTGACGAACATCAAGATTTGATAGGACTCTATTTTAGGAACTTGTGAAAGGGCATCATGAATTCGCTCTCATACTGCTGAAGTCAAGTCCAATACAGCGTTCTCTGGATCATAAGTCGACATTATGGAAATGAATCCTCCCGACCCAAAACCCGCCACTCTTAGCCATTGAGATGCAAACGATACAGATAAGCCTTGGTAACTGTTATTATCTTAGCTCCGCTCTACCGTACTGATAAGTACACGGAATGGCCCGTCAAGGTTGACGATGTTTCTACTCCGCCCAAGCCTCTGAACAAAGCTATCAAGCCCCCGCGCCGCCAACAAGGTATCCAAACTGGGAACAGCCAGACATACTCTATAGACGAGCAGACCACAGAATCTTCCGTCGGGGTAAGCAACGGCGCACACGTTAGCCCAGTGGGTTAACGTGTACAACAGCGCTTACGGAGCTCACACCTAAAAGACTGGCCTGCCCGACCGTAGTCCCTTGTTACAGCCAATGAGTGAACATACAATCATATAATTTGCTATTTTGCCATTTGAAACCTTTTTGCATTTGATGAGGAGTTTCTTTCGTTTTGATGGACGGTTTGTTCAAGGTGATTTACTTATTTGCGTGCGCGTTGTGAGGATATTCGTGGGGAGGGGGATAAGAAAGATGTCGATCATGCAATGGGGTTCGAGTCTGCCACTGGACACTTTTTTAAGGTTCCTTCTCTCCAAGAAAGACGTGTAATGACATGATTTTTTTCTTTGGATAAGAAGTTTGGCCTGCACAATGTGTAAAGATGCGAGCGAACTTATCGTTCTTTGACGACAAGGGCACATTTTGCTGTGTGGTCTATATCGTGCCCAATAGGGAGAGTGGATATTGTCAGCGACTCTTAACTCCAAACGAAACAACACCGCGGATCCCATAAAATGATCGGAAGAGAGAATGAAACCCCACTCGAACCGTTCCCAAAACCAATGTTGTCAAATCACCAGTAACCCACGCCTGTTTTACCCCTAACCAGCCGTTTTTCATCCACCCCCCATCATTCGTACGCCATTAGATAAATCAAGAGCTGTTGGCAAAGAACTTTGTAATCTTCTGTGTGCCGCCCTGCTTCGACTTTACCGGACTCCTACTCCCATTACTCGTTGGGTTGATCCTGCTCTGCCTGCCCTTCACAGGTGAAACCCTCAACATCTTCCTAGGCGGCTCCTCTTGTGCATCTTCAACAGCGTCAGGTGCCTCCCGCTTGACCCCCACTACCTCCTGGCTGCCCTCCTCATCAGCCGCCTTGGCGATGACTTCCGGCACCGGCTGATCCTGGCCGACTTGTGACTCCTTGGGCTCCTCCTTTGTCTCGATAGTAGGCTCGAGCTTCGTGGCCTCCTTGGACTTTTGTTTGGCAGAAGCGTTGGCGAAAAAATTTGCAATATTGGACTTGTTCTCCTTGCTCGCAACGGGGATGATGAAGGAGGGCGAGTTGTTGCCGACCTTGCCGACCTCCTTGCTGACGGCGTAGCACTCGAGCTCGCCGTCGAATGGCTTCAAGAGATCCTGCAGCTCCTTGGACCATTCGTGCCGCTTCGGATCCAGCCAGGTCTTGAGCTCTTTGGAGCCCGGGTCGAGGATGACTGGCATCCTGTCGTGGAGGAACTTGAGCTGCTTGTTGGAGTCTGTCGTTATGATGGTGTAGGTATATCGCTTCTCTTGGGCGTCTATCTCCAGGTTAGGCTTACTCGAAATGGTTGAGGATTGGGATGCTCACCTTCATACTGTGCACAATCCCACAGCCCAGCAAAGCACATGAGCTGCCCGTCCTTCCTCTTGACGAAATGGGGCGTCTTCTCCTTTCCATTCTTCAGCCACTCATAAAACCCCTGGGCGACGACGATACACCGTTTCCCCGCCTTCATGGTCGACCACATGCCGCCAGGCGTGCTCAGCGAGTCGTCCCGGCAGTTGATCGTCTTGGAGAGCGTGGCGTAGCCGGGATCGCGCTTCGTCCAAAAGGGAATCAAGCCCCACTGCATCGACTGCATCTTGTACTTGACTGAGCTGTCGCCGCTGTCGTTGCTATGAGACTGGCTTGAGGCGGCACTATCTTGCTGGCTGCTCCCTTGATGACGGCCATGGCCCGCACCACGGTCCGGGACATCGGCGCGGTAGACGACGCCGTGATAGCCCGGTGCGAAGTTGTATGTCTGACGAGGAGAGCCCTGACCCTCGTCTTCTGGCGCGTCATCCACTGCCATGTCATCGTCCTCCAGCATCCGCCGGATTTGTGATGGCCGCTGTGTTTTTGTTAGTAATGGTCACCGAGCTCTTGGAAATTGGACGGTTCAAGACTCACCAGGGCTAAAGCGTATCTTCCGCACATGTTCTTCAATGACCCAGCTATTCACAAGTGAAGAAATTCCTCTTGCAACGACTTGCATTGAAATGCGATGGATGAAATCGAGGGCCGAGAGCTCATATGCATTGATGACGTCGTCGAGACGCGGGACACTGCGACGGACGTGACTAATCTACGCGCTAGATGCACGCCGGCACGTGACTCTCCTCCTCTGTAAATCACATCTCGAGATATCACAAGATACCTCATTTCCTTCAGTTCTTTTCAAAGCTTTGCTTTTTCAGCTTAAGAGAAGGATATCGTATAACTGCTGTCCTCTCTACGCTCGAATGTCTACCCCTCACACACCAACACAACTCCAACTAGAAGCAGCATCAACATCCCCCTTACCATCCCACGAAGCATACCCAGGGTAACTACAAATCGGCCTCTGCCTCAATACCCCCTTACCAACAGTATCATTCGCAAACTTAGTCGTAACAATCTCCCTCACGCCCTCCCCGCCGCTCTCAACCCACTGAACAAGCGCAAGCAACACATCGTGCCTCACATCATCCACGCCAGGCACAGGGAAAACATGCTGCCCGTTCCCCTCCAGCGCCGCGGCATTATCGCTCCCGCCAAAGTACCACGGCGCATCGTACACCCCGCCCGAGCAATGCTGCATCCCGGGCACAAAGAAGAGCCTCCAAAAATGGTCCAGGTCGACCCCCCGCGCCGCCATGGCCGCCCACGTCTCGTCGTATAACACGCGGCTCACGTCCGTCGGGATCAGGCCGTCCGCGTAGCCGTGGTACTGCACCAGTTTCCCGCCGCGCTCGTGGAAGGCGGAGAGATCAAAGTTGTCGGCGTTCACGTTGCCCGGGTTCAGCCGCGCGGCCTCGACGAAAGTAGAGTAGTCGAACTGCGTCGTCCAGTCCCACGACGGGTCATCAAAGAGGTAATTCTTGGCGTACTCCGTCCCGTAGAGGCTGGGCTCGTTGTTTGATCCAAACGACGACGGCATCTGCTTCTCGGAACCCAGGCCAAAGTTGGGGTAGACGTACGTTACGTTGTGAACGTCGGCGTCGAGCTGGATGAGCGGGCGGTACAGCTGCTTCAGCGTCGCGATCTGCGGCGCCGTCAGACACGCGGAGCGGTTCGAGCTCGCGCCGGTGTTGCAGAGCATCTTCTCTGGCCGGAAATTGCAGTGCGCGGGGTTCTTCACTACGCCGTCGACGACGCCATCAGACCCATCGCACTGCCGTAGAACCTCGTCGCTGATGGCGTCAAACACGGCGGACGGGAGGTACCCGGGCCCGTCCTCGGGCAGATTCACAGCCCCGACCTTCAGCTGCCACAACTGCTGGCTCGTCGACATCCACGCCGGCGCGCCCGCAAGGATCCCGTCAAAGTCCTCCGGGTGGTCCTGCGCCGACTTCACGCCCTGCCGGCCACCGGTCGAGCAACCGGAGTAATACGACCTGTTGGCCGCAGCGCCGTAGTACCCCTCTACAATCTGCTTCGCGACGACGGTAGAGCCGTGGAGACTGCGACCTGCCCAGTCGGCTTTTGTCTCGGGGTTGTTGAGCGCCCAGCCCATGTCCTGGTTCGACGAGTTGTGGCCCGTGGAAGTGGACATTGTCGCGAAGCCGTATTTGACGCCGGTGCCCATGGCGTACCAGTTGATACCCCCCGAGAACCCCCCGTTTCCCACCGCGAGGAAGCGATTGTTCCACTCATCCGGTAGGAATAGGCCAAATGTGTAGGATGATGTCGTGGAGGACGTGACGTTGATGGAGACGACGCAGAGCGGCGGTAGGTGCGTTGCGTTTTGGGGGTAGGTGATGTTGCCCGCCTCTCCAAAGGTGCCATTGTCGCCCAAGTGTAGAGTCGTCAAGACCTCAGCTTGATTTTCTGGTGTGAGGAGAGCGCTCACGCTTTCGAGTGAACACTGGCTCGAGTGCTGTTGTGCGGAGACTTGTGCGGCACAACCCGCCGCCCAGAGAAGGAGACTCAGCGTACGCGGAGCAGACGGCATGGTGACGATCAGGAAGTTCTGAGGGAACATGCCAAGTTCAAGGTCGTCCCGGCACTCCGGCACTACACACCTATTTCAAGGCCGGCATACTTATACAGACGCCATGCTGGGAGTGTAATCTGAACCGTTGCATTCGTTCAGGATTCCACCCCCGCCGGCTCCGCAACCCACCTCCATTATCCCCGCGTAAGTGGAGAGTCTGTCGATTGCACCCCGCAATCAGGTTGCGCTAATCTTATATCAGTCTTGTCAGATGAACATCTCAGAGGGGGGGAAACAGATGAAAACCAAGTCCAAGGCGGCGGAGACGCAAGGTTTGGAGCCAGATGTGACGTTGCTGATGGCGCTGGGGATAAATAAAACCCCACGGCATCCGGCATCGGCCCGGTGATGTGGACTGCAAGGCGGCCTTTAACCGTCGTTATTATCCGCTTCACTCAGTGTTGCTGAATGCCTAGATCTAGGAGGACCGATGAGAGCAGATTACTCTTAACACATCTCGAGACATTGGATCAACGTCACTGCATAGGCCACACGCCTTGATCTTTCATGTCTTCGTTCCGTCTGATACTAGACTCTGTCTGAAGACAGCAAGTACTACTGGGTGAAACCGTATACAGAAATGTACAATCCCTGGATGAATGAATGCTGTGCCTCTCCACATGAAAAACTCTGCAAACTCCGTAAACCCCCTTTAAACATTCCGCCTCGACTTGCGCTTGAGTGCCGTCTGTGCGGCCCACGCATCCTCGAAAATAGTCTTGCGCTGTCCAACATCCCCCCTCTCCATGGCGAGGCGGCGCACCACGTGGAACGCGCCGGTTCCTACAGTCATGGTCTGGCCCATGATGATACACTCACTCACACCCTCAATCTGGTCCGTCTTCATACCGGCAGCCGCCTCAAACAAATGGTCTGGCGTCTTCTCGAACGAGGCCAGCTGGAGAACACTGTCTCTCATCTTGGACAGTCCGAATCGTGTGATACCAAGGACCTCGCCCTTGTATGTCATGACATCAGCAAGCAGCTGCATGTGACGCGGGTCGATACCCATGTCTCCCATGACCTCGCCAATTTCAAAGGCAATCGTGCTTCTTGCGGCCTCGATACCCAAGACGTCTCTGCACTCCATGATGTTGTTGGACTTGACTTTTCGTCCCTCGACACCCTCCGTGTTCATGCAGGCGAGAAGTCCGTAACCTTCGACCAGGACGGTGTGGGTTTCGTCCTCGGACGATTGAATAATGGCACGAGTGGCCTCAGGGTAACCCGAGATGGCCACGGTCGGGATCGTTCGGCGGAGATAGTTGGCTCGCACCAAGAGGTCGCCAAGCTCATCCACGGGTTTGGCCTTGACAGATCGCTTGGAAGCCGCCGACTCGTCGAGGCGGACGCGAATCTCGATTCTCCCAGCGCCAATGTGCATATCGGACCTCGACACCTTCATCTTCTTGTGCTTGCAAATAGCCTCGGCCACATCGCCCAGGGTAATGCCTAGTTGCATGTCGGACAAAGCATCCATGTCGACCTTGAGAACGACGCTTCCCGACTCGGCGAACCATTCGTCCTCAATGTAGCTCAGGATGTCCTCAACATACGTCTTTTCGATACGCGCCTTGACGATCTTCGCGGCTGTCATCTCCCTGTTCTGCATCAACGGGCAGGTGATGACGGGGGTACTGATAGTCTTGGAGGCGTTGATAATTTCCTTGATACGGGGTACACCCTGGGTGATACTCATACCGGCGACACCAGCAAAATGGAAAGTCTTCAGGGTCATCTGCGTACCGGGCTCACCAATAGACTGCGCACCAACAGCTCCGACGGCATGTCCGGGCTCGACGTGCGCCTTTTTGTACTTTTCCAAACACAGTTTGATGAAGAGTCGCAATGTCGTCTCGGACATCTTGGCGACCTTGTCGGCAAAGGCCTTCTTGGCCTTGACCTCGTCCTCATCAATGTCGACGTCCATGCTGTCGGCGTTGGCTGTCAGGCCAGTCAGTTCCATCACACGGGCAAGCTTGTTGGCTCGTCCGGCAATGTAGGACTCTAGTGATCGCAAAAAGTCTCTGGCGCCTTCGTGCTCGTCTGTGTACTTTTCTTCCTCGTTGTCGTAATCAAGAGTTAGATCACCCAGCAACGACTTTCTGGGGTAACGCGCGCGTTCCCGAGCAAGCAAGTTGTCGCAGAGCTTGACCATCTCGTTGGGGAGCAACGCGGCCTCGTCATTGTCCCAGGTAAGGTTCTCGGCGTGAGAAAAGGTTCGATCAAAGTTGACAGGCTTCGCAGAGGCCTCCATGTCGACAGGGTCCAGCTTGTCGGCACCGAACTGGAACTGAACGATACCACCACCGGAAGTCCGCACAGTATCGTCATACTGCGTCGACAGATCTTCCAGAGACTTCATCAGTCTGCGTGACATGTAACCGGTTTCGGCCGTCTTGACAGCGGTATCGACCAGACCTTCACGACCAGACATGGCGTGGAAGATGAACTCGGTAGGCAAGAGACCAGAGTAGAAACTGTTCTCGACGAATCCCTTGGACGGCGGTTGAGGCGCGTTCTTGTGGAAGTGAGGAAGCGTTCTGTCCTGGAAACCATCGGCAACACGTTTGCCACCAATAATCTGCTGTCCGACTAGGGCAACCATCTGGGCCACGTTAATTTCTGAACCCTTGGATCCAGACTTGGCCATGACTAGCGGGGCGTTGTTCTTGCTGAGAGTTTCGATACAGTGAGAACCAGCCTGCGTTCTGACCTTACTGAGAAGACCCGAAATGGAGTTCTCCAGCGTCTCCTCCATACTGCAACCGGTAGCCTTGTCGAGCTTGTTCTTTTTGTACTTGTCAATGAGGACATCGACCTCAATGCTCGCACCCTTGACAAGCGTGCTCTTCCTCTCGAGCAGTTTCTCGGTGGGGAAGACATCACCGATACCGATGGAGAAGCCTCGGTTTGTGAGATGTCTTGCACACAATTTGGCAAGTCGGTTCATCGTAACCACGGCCGCATCGGGACCGAAATCTCGCAGGATAACATAGAACACTGAATCTTTCTTTCCTGATCCGACCGTCGACTTGTCCATGACACCGCACATGACTTCGGAGTTTCGAATCACCAACCATCCGTCGTTGGGATCCATGTCGGGGCATTGCCCGGCTCTGGCCTTGTATTCTCTGCACTTGGCGTCAAGGTTGATCTTGACAGGGCTGTCTTTGTTGGGTCGCATCATCATGCTGAAGACCTGCTTGCCGGTCCACAAAGCCTTGGGCTTCAGAATCGCAGGAGGCGGCAAGTCGAGGTGGACTTTGCCGTCCATCATGTGCATGCAGATGTACGTGAACGTCTTGCGATCGAAGAAGTTGTCCTTGCTGCTTAGAAGATATGCGGCGGTAATGAAATCTTGCGTAGCCGCAATGACGGGCTCTCCGTTCTTCGGCGTCGCCAAGTTATGTTTCACGCCCATGAGGTTGATGGCCTCGGCGCGGGCTTCCTCCGTCTGCGGGACGTGAAGATTCATCTCGTCACCATCGAAATCGGCGTTGTAGGGGCCGCACACACACTCGTTGAGGCGGAATGTCCTCCAGGGTCGCACTTTCACCAAATGGCTCATGATACTGAGCTTGTGCAAAGACGGTTGACGGTTGAAAAGAACAATATCGTTGTCTTCCAGATGGCGTTCGACAACATCGCCGATTTTGAGATCCTGGGCGACCTGGTTCCGGTTACCATACTTCAAGGAGATTTTGTAGCCTCCCTCATCGTTCTTGATGACCTGTTGAGCACCGGGCCAGATACTGGGACCGTTGCGAACGCATTCCTTCAACTTCTTAATGTTGTAGTCTGACACTCGCTCCGGGTAGGTCAAGTTCTTGGCGACAAGCTGGGGAACAGCGACCTGGTCGATACCAAGGTTGGGATCGGGAGAAATGACGGTTCGTCCGGAGAAGTCGACACGCTTTCCGGACAAATTGCCACGGAATCGGCCTTGCTTTCCCTTTAACCGTTGGCAAAAACCTCTCACGGCCTTGCCAAATCCCGGCTGTTGCAAACCTGGCACGTCACTGTTGACGTACATGGCAACCTGGAGCTGGAGATATTCCCACTGTTCCATGATGGTCTGAACTGGCGAGCCCTTTTGTAGTGCCGAGCGGATCATGCCGCTTACCCAGACAATGTCTGCTAGCTTTGTCGTGATGTCGTCCTCGTTACTGGCGTTGTCCTGGGCTACTGATGGTCGAATGCACACAGGGGGCGCAGGAAGGAATTGCCAGATGAACATTTCGGGACGGCCCTCGGCGGGATCCAAGCCAAGAAGCTCGCAGTCGGTGGGGCTGATCATTTTGAAAAGGTTGAGAACCCTCAGGGGATTCATATCCTCCATGGCCTTGCGCAAGTGCTTGTCCAGCTCCCCATTGTTCTTTCTGGCCTCGGCAAAGGACTCGTCAAACTTGATTTTGCTCTCGGGAGGGATCTTTTTGGCCGAAGTGGACTTGTTGTATGTGACAAACTTGTCGTGGGCGAGCTTGAGAACACCAACTTTCCTAATCTGGCCTTGAACAGAACCGCAGTACATGCAATTCTTGACCTTTCTGCATTGCTCATTGATTCGTTTGCAAATCTGCGTCCGTCGCAGGTTATCGAGCAGGGGTCGCCTCAGCTCCTTGAGGAACGATCTCTTTTCGCTCTCTGTGAGTAGTACTTTGCCGCAGTCCTGGGTACCGTCAGCGACAGTTGTTACAGGGGAAATTGGGAATGCTCACCTTGCAGATGTCCTGCAATATCATCATAACGAAGCGCAGGTAGCCAATGTGGAAGGCCGGTAGAGGGAGTCTGACATGGCCGAAATGGCCTGTGCAGTTTTGCAGCGATTCCTCACATGTTGAACATTTGCCTGTCTTGCTTGAAGTACCCTGTTGGCCAACACATTAGATCGTCTCGGAGAGAAGTCGATGGGAGTCGCTTACAAGACGGGGGTCAAGAGGACCATGCTGATACGGGGCTCTGTTCTTTTCGATGTCATAAAGAAGGCGATCGGAAACTTCGAGGACGGCTTGGTTCGCGATATCTTGGTTGGACCTGGGAGCAAGCGGGTTAGCGCTTCGGTTTATGGCACGAGCTGCGTGTGTGAGAAGAGACTGACTGGATGCCAAACTTGATGCCTCTGAATCGCTTGGGCAGCTTATCGACAAGCTGCGACTTGACCGGAGTCACGGTGGTGGTGGTCGCCATTGCAATTGCTCTTGGAGCGCGCCCGCCTGGTTCGAATGGGAGAAAGCGGCGGTGGTAGCGGCGGGTGAGTCAACCCGAAAGTGCGAGGTCGAAGTCTACGGGAGGAAATCGATGGTGGTGGATTTTCGCATTCGGCGCAAGGTCATGATCGAGGTCCGAGGTCAGTAGTAGGGTAATTGCAGACGACGGGAGGTTCGGTGCGACGAAATGCTACGGTGTGTTGCGCATTGGGGATCGGTATGAAGGCGTGGAAAGGTCCAAGACGTCGTCGGGATGGCTGAGTTGGAGTCGGCCTCGCTGGAAATTTTGTGAAGATGGAGGCACACGGCGGGACAACTGGATAAGGCGACGGCTTAGCGTGGGAATGAGGGACGGCATGCAGGTCGTACCCCACCATCGAAAAACACAGCTCGCCCCGCCCAGTGCTATGCGCGACGACTCACGGGTACGTATCTGTTGCTCAGTGCCAGTTGACAGTGGAGATGCTCAATTCTTCGTCCCCAGGTCGCGCAGAAGACTACCTTAGGTAAGGCAGACTCTACGCAGTATACGGTATTACATGCCCTGCGAATTACTTAGACGAGTCTGGGATTCATTTCCATGCCATGGATCGACCAGGCCTGGAAATTGCCAAAGCATTACCAACTGTTCCAAAGATAGGTCCAAATCCGAAGCATCAGGGACAGAAGCAGATACAGGAGTATCTGGAGGCATCGAAGCTATCGGTGTGAGTCTTTCGGTACAAGTATCTAAGGTAGGTAAGGGTGTACGGATAAGCGGCGCAGTGGTTGGTGAGTCTTCAACCTCAGCCTGCAGTGAGCGAGGTGCAGCTGGCTCGCTTCTGACGGGAGATGAGGTAAGCATCGAGAGCACCTCTACCTAGACCTCTGTTCCCGACGGTTAGTGCAGCGTCACTGTAAATGTAAGGTACCTATGTACTTACTTAGGTTCGGAAGGCGGCCCCTCGGCTTGCATTCCACCGTTGTTCCATTTACACGGGACTGCAAACTGCGTCATGGGGTCCCTGAAAGCTGGAGCTCCCCATGTCCAAGTGCAGCTGACTGGGGCCATCTGCGCCCTTCATTCATCCACCTCCATAGTACTCTGTCAGGTATTAGTCCATACAAAGATACGAATACTCTGTTCACTACGGATCCTGTGCCTGGGGAATCACCTGCAGATGGGTAGGCGGCCTCGTGTTCCTTTACCGCGTATTTCCCTTTGATCCAGAACTGTCCACTCTCATGTAAGCCTCCATTACCAACTGGACACCTTACCTCACAGATACCTACCTACCTCGGAAAAGGTACTTACCGTAAGAGCAAATACCGCCAAAAGAGCAAGTACACGTTGTCCCCTTTGATAGTGCCAAGCAGCCAAACCCCCACGACTTCCATGTTGGATACTCATTCTTCCTGAGCTCTTCTTCCTCCTTCGCCCAGCCTTACCTAAATACATACAAGATTCCATCAACCCCCCAACCTTGCTCTCTCTTGACTTTCGTTCGATCTCTCTCACCTCGCTGTCGCCGCCTCAACCCTGCACCATTGCTCCAGTCTGAAACCAGTATTCCTGGTTCCCGCCCAACCTGCTCCAAGCTCCCCCCGAAACTGCCCTCCAAACCGGTCACTGCTCTCCCCGACAGTCGGTCACGTCCTCCCCCCAGAGGACTCCGGTGACGCACTCGCACTGATAAGTGCCCGTCTGCTGCTGCCTCTGTCACGTTGGCGCCCGCGATTCTTCGCTCCAGACAGGCTTGGGGACGACACTACAGACCGCCGAACCTCTCCGGCACCTATATCAACAGCTACATCACCGCAACCTCTCGCCGCTCCTGGGCATCCCGTCACACCTCCGCCGAATGGCACTCGGCCCACTCGCAGATCATGGCTCCCGGCGGCGCTGACCGCAAACCAGAAAAGTCCTACCTGTCATCCGCTGTCGACTCGATCAACCCATGGGCCGGCAGCCGGAGTTCAACACCGACACCCAAGGATCCTCCTCCACAGCCCGTGCCCGTTCCGACCTCCCGCCCTGGCGATCACAGCATCACCCACTTATACGGCCAGAGCATCAAGACCTACCCCTCCGACTGCCCTCCTCTGAACGTGCTCTGGTACCACGCAACTGATGTGAGACTGCCCATCGTCGGCACGAAAACTGCCCATTTTCAGACTAACTCGATGCTGCCCAGGTTCCTAAGCGCAAACCCCAGTTCCTCCGAGACAAAGCGAAGCCTGTCGAAGATGCCAAGCCTCCGATCCAGCCAAAGAAGTTTTTGCCTTTCTCTAAGCTAGATTCTCGCGCAATCGAGACGGCGTACCAACGTCTATTGGAGGATTCAGAGAAGCGAAGAGAAGAACGATCACTGCGCAACATTTCATCGGGCTCCAGGCGCGGTCGCCAGAATACCGACGACGAGGGCATGCGCAGCAGCGTAGAGACCAGTCCAGAGGGTACCCAAACCCCCAAAACGCGCGTCCCCGTGAATGAGGACTACCTCTTTGATGTCGATATCGAAAACCGGGAGCTGGGCCCGGTCTACTGGCTGGGTCCTGTATATGAGGTGCGTCGCGGCACCTGGTTCTACGACGAGGGTTCGTCTTTGCGGCCATGTGAGGAGAACCTAGCTTCACAGCTGGAGGAGGGATATCTCAAGGTCAAGCCCTGGACATACCCCAAACCGCGAGTCCGCAACGACCCGAAGAACAAGGACCCTAAAGCCAAGGACGTTACGCCCAAAGCGTCCGTCGAGAATCTCAAGGCCGCAGCAGCTACAACTCCCACGACCGACGGGAGTCTGAAGTCTCCAGGGCCGCAGAACCAACATCAACCTTCCTCACACCGCTTGTTTGGCGCCTGGATGAACAATATCGCCACATATCAAGATGCAGGCACGGCATGGCTCACCTCAGACAGTATGCTCTCGTGGGTGACGTCAACCATGTACGAGAGATTCTCGGGCGGCGGTTATATGAGCGGTATCAAGCTGGTCAGAGGCTACTCTGACGTGGCGAAGAACAAGAAACAACAAAAACAGCCGGCGACGCCAACCGACCCTACCGTAACCCCGCAGCTGGATGAGAAGCAGCAAAAACTGCTCAAGAGGAGGTCTGCGCCACCATCTTCCAGGCCGTCACAGTCAACCGACGAGATTTCCCTTCTGGAGGAGGAAGATGACAGGGAAAATTCTCTTCAAAGGCAAATTTCTTCGCTGATGGAGGGGGCTGAGCGCAACCAGGAGGAACAGGAAGAGGAGATTCGGAAAAGGGAGGAGAAGGAAATTGAAAACGACTACAACGGCCAGCTCGGCGAGACCCAAGGGCGAGAAATCGAACACCTGGTATTAGTGACTCATGGAATCGGCCAGCTCCTCGGCATTCGGTAAGCACAAAGATTGGGCACGTTGTCCACTTGAGAGACTAACTTACGCAGTATGGAGAGCGTAAATTTCGTTCACGATGTCAACATTTTGCGCAAGAACATCAAATCTGTGTACTCCAGCTCTGCTGACTTGAGAGCACTCAACTCGGAGCTGGAAGATGGCTCTCGAAACTGCCGTGTGCAGGTTTTGCCTGTGTGCTGGAGACACTTGCTCGATTTCCCCAAGAGGCGGGAAAAGAAAAAGGAACAAGATATTGGCGATGGTGCCCAAGACGAGGACGAATGTAAGTGACTGGCCTGAAGTTTAGGGGACACGACTAATCATTCAAAAGACCCCTCCCTAGAGGACATCACCATCGAAGGCGTGGCGTTTGCCAGGTCCTTGATTTCCGACCTTGCGCTGGATGTTCTCTTATACCAAAGTGCATACCGAGAACAGATCTCAGAGATTGTACTCAAGGAGTCGAACCGTATCTTCAAGTTGTTCATGGAACGGAACCCAGAGTTCAAGGGCAAGGTCCATGTGGTTGGCCATTCCCTCGGCTCGGCCATCATGTTTGATATCTTATGCCGGCAGAAAGAGAAGCAAAAGACGTTGGAAACCCCTAGGAATCCTCTCCGATTCTGGCCGGCACAAGAAAAGATGGAGGCCCATCGGGATCGAGAAGCCAACGAGTTGCGATTCGAGTTTGACGTGGAAGATTTCTACTGCCTTGGGTCTCCGGTAGGGCTGTTCCAAATGCTCAAGGGACGGTACGTTGCTGCACTTCTCCTTGTCAAGCTTTGAGTTGACTAACACAACTAGGACGATCGCGGCTCGCCATCTGCCCAACTCCCGGCCATCAGAAAGCCCCTTGAACCCAGATTTGATGGACGACCCATTCCTTGCCGCGAATCCGGCTTCTCCTACGCATCGTGTTTCCGCAATCACCGGTCTCCCCTATTCAGTCTCGTCTCCAAAGGTTTCGCAGCTTTTCAACGTCTTTCATCCGTCAGATCCAATCAGCTACCGTCTCGAGCCCCTGATTTCGCCTGCAATGTCTACCTTGAAGCCCCAAGTCTTGCCGTACACCAAGAAGGGCATCTTTGGCAACGTGGCGCAACAAGGCCTCTCGGGTATTGGTATGAAGGTCGGTCAGAGTGTCAGCGGGCTGTGGTCCAGCTTGAGTGCAGGCATAGCAAGCAACATTCTGAATCGCAGCCTCGGTCTCAGCAATGAGGATGTGGCCAAGATGAACTCAGCCAACTCACCACAGCAGGTGTCAGGCGCAGGCACGAACATTGCAGACAGCGGTGTGATTGCGGATGCGTCAAAGCTTGGGGAAAAGACGAATGAGCGCAAGAAGCAGCTGGCGGACTCCAAGTCGATGATTGGTCGCACCAGCATCAGCGGGAATGAGATGACGCTGATTGACGACGAGCTCGAGACGTTGTATTCCAAGTTCCAGGAGAAGCGGGTAGCACTGGCCAAGACGGACGACGACGGCGGTGCCGCGGACTGGCTCGAGGCAGAGCGTAAGGCGCAGAAGCTGCGGCGGGAGGAGATGAAGGTCCGGGCCCTGAATCGCAACGGGCGTGTCGATTACAGCATTCAAGAGTGAGTGAATGATTTGATC